AAAATTGCATGTGCTGAAGTCGACGTGAATTCGCTTGTTAAATCATTAGCGATGGGTTAAGTATTTAAACAATCGCTATAGCCCGACGTTTTACATTCATTAAACCTGAGAGACAAGACGAGATCTACGTTTTCTTTTCTTTTTTTTTTTTAGAACGTCTTTGTTGAAATTGTAATCCCTTTAATGCTACACACATTTGCGAAATGATGAAGTAGATTCAGTCAATTAAAGAAGATTATTGCTTCATCGTCTTTGCTTCTTTTTTGTCGTCTTACATAGAACTGCTTAATAAGCGAGACGATTGAATTATTAAGCGAGCTGTTATAAACGCGGTTATAAAAGAATAATTGCTCACATTAGAACGATTTTCATTTTAGAGTCAGATATACCCGTTCGTGTGGACGATTCCTTCGGTGCTTTCGGTGGAAAGCAGATAAAGTTAACAGTGTGATGTGTAAACTACTTTCTATAAGAGACTTTTTCTTTCGAGCATACAATATCTTTTTCACATATTCTTTTTTTTTCTATTATGATATAAATACATTGTGTGACTATTAAATGTTTCTTTTGAAGTTTGATATCTGCTGAATGAGTGATCACGAAACAAATCCGAGCTAGTCGTGATTACTAATCAATCACTGATGAATACTACATAAACGTTCTGTGAATTAGCTATATATTGATAAAAGTTTAAATTTTTCTAGCAGAATGTGATATTTGGCATGGAATAGAATTTCTTAGTTTCCTCAAGCATCAATCTCTTATGGACACGTTTTAGTTATTTATTTACTTATTTTGTCTCATGTTTTATATATTTTCTTCCAGGCTAGAGGATTATTCAGCGTGTGGAGTGTCAATTATAATTTGGCTATCGAATGCATACCACCGATCATAACACTCTTCCTTTCCATGGCGACGTATTGCAACATATTTTTTAATACAGAGAAGGTATTTTTTTTTTTTATTTTACATAGTCCACAAATATTAAGAATTAAGTATTAATTAATTTAACCCTTAGTTTTAATTTTAGTTGACAGAAATAAAATTTGATGGATATCGTAGAATGAGATAGTTGAAATGATTAGCTCCTTTTAAAGAAAGGCATCGGTATTGCTTGGATTAAATAAATTCAAAGATTTTAGTTTAAATAAAATGATAGAAAATGGAAACATTGTCATCGGGTCACATTTTCAGTCTTTGGATTTAAGATAGATGCCCCTTTTTTAAAAGGAAATGATAATTTTTTGTTAAGTGTTTTCAACTTTAAATATACGTACATTTATGGTTCAGGTATATATCATATTCATACTGACATCATTATATTGTTTGTACTAGATCTTTTGTATTTGTATTTATATCTTCCAAACGCGTGATTATCCAAGACTAAGATTTTATCTCATCTCATGATACTCACGAAATTGTCTTTTGACACCTCATCGATATTAATTAAAAGAAATAATTTTCCCAAGATGAAAGGAACTCGTTCTTCGTTGTAATTAAATTTTACATACAACGATGAAAGCATAAAAAAGTTTTCGAGAAGACATTGGCAAAGCAGTTCCTTTATTCTAAAAAACTTTTCTCTTCTTATTTTTATTAAACGAATTTCTTCCTTTCTTCTTATTTCAGATTAAGAATGTACTACTATCTATTAAAAATGACCATAACTATTACATGAACCGTCCAGAAAATATGATTCTCCAATATTACGCTGTGCAAGGGAGTAGAATTGGATTTTATTACGTTTGTAAGTGTAGATCTGAAAATGAAAAGAAATGCTTATCATCAATCGTGAAGAATGTTTCTATTCTAGCCTACGTTTACACGACATATGTAATGTACGTACTGTTACCAACGGTGTCATTGGTAATTGACGAAATTGTATCCTCGAATCATTCTGAGGATAAAAGCTTTCCAGTCGTTCTCGATTACGGTGTGGACATGCAACAATACTTTTATCATCTGTTCATACCTGTATACATATCAATATTCATGGTTGCCAATGTGGTTGCTTCTTGCGATACCACATACATGCTATATGTTCAACACATCTATGCTTTGTTTGCGATTGTGAGGTACAGCTCGTCTCTACTAAACAAAAAATTCATTTGATCTCGAAAGAATATTTTTCCAGTTATAAACTAAAGACTATACACATTTTGGATACGAATAGCAGTATAATGAACTTAAAGAATAATCGTTTGTTCGAAAAGCACAATAATATCGAATTATTATCGATAGAAGAAAAGAAAATCTTTAGTGAATTTGTGCTTTGCATAAAAGCACATCAGAATGCAATAAAGTTGGTGGTCTTGTTGTTAGTGTACAGTTACATTGTTTATTTTCTTCGCATGAAAAATTAATCAATTTTATTTTTCGCAGGTACTCAAATCTCGTTGAATCATTGTTCACTAAATCCATATTGGCTCAATTGTTTTGTAATGTTATCTGCCTTAGCATTGGTGGAGTTGAAGTGAGTATATTGTATTATACTTTATTATTTATTTATTATTATATTATACCTTATTATTTTTAGACTGTCCTGAATTTAAATAATGCGGGCGATGTGATGCGATTTGGATCACTTGCATTGGCACAAGCTATACACATATTTGTTCTTTGCCTTCCTGGACAAAGACTACTGAATCACAGTGAAGAAGTATATGCTGCTGCGTAAGAGAATGTTTTATACTTCTTTAATGTTCTCCTAGTTTTACATTCCACGCAATAATTGTCAACAAATTTATTTAGATGCGAGGTAATGTGGTGTATATTGCCCAAAAAATGTCATAATTTATATAAATTTTTACTCGCAAGAACTATGGTATTCAACAAAATAACAGCTTTCAAACTAACCATCATGTCGATGGAAACCTTTCTGGCGGTAAAAACTTCTTTTAACTTATTTTAACATACATTTACATCTTGTGACAAAGAGATAGCACACTAAAAATTACGTAATGCGTTTATAAACATGCCTAAGTAACGTAAGTTAAATTTTTTATAATACATTTCGTGTTATTAATAAAAATAGAATTGAAAATAACATTTAGCGAGTTAAAATGATAGCACATTTCGTGGAAAACGATAGATAGAAACAAAAGAAACAATTTGATAATTTTTTGATACTTAGTATAATCTTTGCATTCAGTGACGGCAGCCATTCTTAGACTGCTCTTAGGCAGCCATTCTTAAGGCCAATATTTACTTAGTTTTCGAATGATTTTTTGTCTTAGTTCTTCCCGTTCTTTCAAAATACATTTTTTTTAAATTCATTAATATTTACGAATTGTCTTTCATTTTGGTATACAATCTTCGCCAAATTCTTCCAACAATTTCTCGTAGACAAGCTAGAATTTTACGCTACATGTATTACAGCACGTTTATCCGGAACTGTTGGACACTGCGGTTGTTCACAACTTTTTTTTTCTTCATGATCATCACTCTACATCTATTAACTACTTTGACTATTTTTGTTTTTGGAATAATGTTCTTCATTTAATTTCAACATCGTGCGTATTTCAGCTGGATTTAACTTTTTTCCGCGTTTCATTTTTACATATTTATTTATTTATTACGTTAATAATAAATTTATACTTTAGTTAATACACAATTAACCGACTGTGTTTCACACTTTCGACTGAGCTTTTGTACGATTGAGGATCGTAAATATTCGATTTGCGCTATCTTTTTGTCCGCCTCGTGCTGCGCAAAATTTATATGGGGTGACCACTGAAAGACTGAATGATTTTCAACAAAAATAACTTTAACAAACACGTTTTTTGTTTAATTTTTAATTATTTTATTTATAATTATAATTAATGGATTTTTTTCAGTATTATCTGTGAAAAACTAAAAAAAAAAAGAAAATAAAAAAGATTGAAAAAGCACAAGTTGTGACTTTTTCAAACCTTTCAGTTTTTCAGTCGCCACCCTATACTTTCGTTTGTGTCTCTGCGAAATTGCGTCTCGGTAATAACATTCAGCATTCTACGCCTAAAAAAATACTGATGTAATAATCTACACATACTCTACTTTACGATACATGATAAAAAAAGTACAGAGTATGCTATAGTTTGCCCCGGAATGTAATTTGCGGGTGACTTTTTGCACCTATAAAGAAATTTAACAATCAAATTAATTAATTAATAGTAATCAAAATAATCCGTAGCCCGCGATTAACGTGTAGACTTTTAAAAACGGAAAATTCTGTTCTTTCTGGCAAATAACAATTGAACCGAAAAGAATGGAATTCTTTGTGATCTAAGTTAAGTGTTGAACAATCGCAGAGTTGTGCGTAATTTTATGTTCATATTTTCAGATCATTCAAACTGCAATGAGTTACTTCACTGTATTATTATCAACTACATGAAGTGAATACTGAATGTATTTCAATTCTTGTAATTTTATTTATATTATATACTATCAGGCCATGTAATGAAATAATGATTTTCATTGTTGATACTGTAGTACTCAAACAAAAAGAAATACACTTAAAGGTGGATAAATATATTTATATCAATGTAATAATAGATTTAACATTTACACATAGCCTGAAGTTAGCATCCAGTACCAAAGCTAAACACTCCACAAATGACGTAAACTTTTCCTCCACTCTCAGTATGAGAGATTTCAGTCGATCCTTGATTTTCCATCATCCCCCAACATTTCTTACACGCCCGTTCTAAAAATCTGTACAAAGAAAAAAAGTAAGTATCTTCAATAGGTTACCAATGGCACAGCATATAAGAAGCGAGTATTTACCATATTCATCTTCCTCTTCCTGGATCCGTCTTCAGTTCTTGAGGTAGTTGACATACATAATATTTAATCTATAACTCTGTAACAAGACGTTTCCTAACAAACTTTGTGTAATACTTTGTATTTTTTCTTCTTTTTACGTGTAGATCCGCGGTTTGGGATCTTGTACTTTAAGTTTGGGACACTCCGTATATAATACAATTAACGTAACGGCAATTTTGAATGAATCGAGGATCGTCAATATTTCATTGCATTATACAAAGTCGTTCTGTCGTGAATGACAGACGTTTGAATCTCATTTCAAAGTGACTAGTAAATATTTTCCGATATTGTACAAAATTCAGTGTTGAAAGATTTAGTATTTGCCAAAAAGTTCAAGATTTGAAACAAATAAAAATTTTTGAAGTGTTGGACCATGTCTGAAGTGATTTGATGCATTCGACGCGATTCAAGGCGCACTTCAGAGCGCATTAAACAGTACATGTTGCACACGTTTAATCTAAAAGAATAACAACCTCCAAAAGATCATTGCTTTTGAAACACGTAAAAAAATAATCGATTTTCCTTAAATGTATTTTCTTTAGGTGTATCATTCTTCCAACAAATAGGTGATTCGATTTTTATTTACTTACTGAATTTTCTTATCTTCTGACGACCTTCGAAGATGAAAAGATGCACGTTCTTCATGAACAATTTCCTATACTTACTGCTTGGTAAACAATACTTAGAGGTAAACAATTTTACAAAAAAACTATAATTGATTAATGTGATAAGTTGATATGTATATGAATAATATGTAATAATTTTACACCACCATCAATTGATTGAATTTGAGATAAAAAAATTAAATTAATTAAGAATTAATGACCGTCTTACTCGGAGTTGGAATTGTATAACAAAGAAAATTTGCTTGAAATTTGATAAATTACATTTCATCGTCTTCGTACGTTTGTTAATGAAAATATCGTTTTATAAGTAACACTGTTGCAAAATCACTTTTATTTTATCAATTACTTATAGTATCTATTCAAATAATTTCTTTTCGAAAAATCGATTATTAACTTACATCCTTCATTTGTAAACAAAATAATCATGCACAGGCACAACGAAATTGCAACACCCTTAATTTTTCTCGATGTACAAATATATTTATTAATTTATTTATTTTTACTCGTAATATTTCATTTTATTATCGACAATCATGTACGATTCCCTCATTTTGCATAAAAATAATAAAAATCTATTTATATATATTGTACTTACATTGGAGTTGCAAAATAATCTAGTTGTTTATGAAATGGATCTATCATTCGGAGGAAATTTCTACAAACAGATAAGATAACAATAAATTTCTAAAATTAATCAGCCAGTAAATTTACGGTTCACATTGTTGATTTTGATAAATATTTTAATTTTACGATGACCCATTATTGCCACCCACTATGATTATCTTTATCATCTTGTATATTATTTTTGTCACATAATGTGCTATCTTGTTTATAGTCCCAAGGTGAAGAATTACATTTGCTGGCAAGTTATAATGAACGTAATGGTGAATATGATCTAAATAATGACTGTCATAATGCACCGTGTAAATTCTCATTTAGGGAGATTTACAGGGAAATGTACGTTTGGCACGGAATACATTGGATTTCTTGAATCATCAACAATATTGCAGCACAATCGTTTGTAATTATTACCACTGCACTTGAACGTGCGTATTATTACCACTAAACATTTCTTCTTCTGTGAATTTCATGCTATTATTCTTTTCTTAAAATTCAACTTTCATTTAGTAGCATCAATCTACTCATGCACAGTTGTAAAAAGATACTCAATTTTTTTTAGAATTATTACCTCGCCTATGAGAAGAGAGAGGATGAGGAAGGATACGACAACTTGACTCAACAGTTTCGGTAAAGTCCGTTGAAATGGCCATAGTCCAATAAAAGATAAAAGACGCTTGTTCAATAGGAAGACAGGTTGCTCGAAGAAATCCATACCTGTCATTGCGTTTCTGTCGGTGCACCGACTCGTAATGACAAAGAGACCAAGACAAGTCAATAAAAATTGCATGTGCTGAAGTCGACGTGAATTCGCTTGTTAAATCATTAGCGAATGGGTTAAGTATTTAAACAGTCGCTATAGCCCGACGTTTTACATTCATTAAACCTCTGAGACGAGACGAGATCTTTACGTTTTCTCTTTTTTTTTTTTTAGAACGTCTTTGTTGAAATTCTAATCCCTTTAATGCCACACACATCTGCGAAATGATAAAGTGGATTCAGTTAATTAAAGAAGATTACATAGCTTCATTGCCTTTGCTTCTTTTTTGTCGTCTTACACAGAACGTTTAATAAGCGAAACGATTGAATTGTTAAGCGAGCCATTAAACGCGGTTATAAAAGAATAATTGCTCACATTAAAACGATTTCCATTTTAGAGTCAGATATACCCGTTCGTGTGGACGATTCCTTCGGGTGCTTTTGGTGGAAAACAGATAAAGTTAACAGTGTGATGTGTAAACTCTATAAGAGACTTTTTTTTTTGAAGCATACAGTATCTCACATATTCTTTCTTTTTCTATTATGATATAAATACATTGTATAACTGTTAAATGTTCCAATATAGTACTTAGTCAATGAGCGAAACAAATCTTATCTAGTTATAATCAATAATCAATCATCGTACATAATTGTTTTGTGAATTAGTTATATATTAATGAAAGTTTAAATTTTTCTAGCAATATGTGATATTTGACATGGAATAGAATTTCTCAGTTTCCTCAAGCATCAATCTCTTATGGATACATCTTATTTATTTATTTATATATTTTGCCTTATATTTATATTTTATATATTTTCTTCCAGACAAGAGGATTTTCCAATACATGGAAGGTTAGCTATAATTCGGCCATCGAATGCATACCACCGATCGTAACTATCTATCTCTCCATAGCGACGTATTGTAACATATTTTTTAATGCAGGGAAGGTATTTTTTTTATCTTACATAGTCCACAGATATTAAGAATTGAGTATTAATTAATTTAACCCTGGTTTTAATTTTAGTTGATAGAAATAAAATTTGATGAGTATCGTAGAATGAAATAGTCGGAATAATCAGCTCCTTTTAAAGAGAGGCATCGGTTTTGTTTTGGATTAAATGAATCTTTAAAGAAGTGTTAAATAAAATAATAGAAAGCCAATTGTCATCAGGTGCAACACATTTTCAGTAGATTTGAGATAGATGCCCCTCTTTTAATTAAAGATCTTATATATTTGTATTTATATATTTCGAACTCAAGGCTATACACGAAATAGGCTTTTGCTCATCGATATCATTTAGAAGAATATCTGAAATAATTTTTTCAAGCTGAAAGAAACTCGTCCTTCGTTGTAATTAAATTTTACATACGATGAAAGCATAAAAAAATTTTCGAGAAGACATTGGCAAAGCAATTCCTTTATTCTAAAATAAACTTTTCTCTTCTTATTTTTGTTAAACGAATTTCTTCCTTTCTTCTTATTTCAGATTAAGGATGTACTACTATCTATTAAAAATGACCATAACTACTACATGAACCGTCCAGAAAATACGATTCTCCAATATTACGCTGTGCAAGGGAGTAAAATTGGATTTTATTATGTTTGTAAGTGTACCAGATTTGAAAATGAAAAGAAACACTTGTCATCAATCTTCAAGAGTGTTTGTATTTTAGCTTACGTTTATACAACATTATTCGCGTACATACTGTTGCCAACGGTAACATTGGTAATTGTATCTTCGAATCATTCTGAGTTTAAAACCTTCCCAGTCGTTGTCGATTTCGGTGTAGACCTGCAACAATATTATTATCATTTGTTCATACCTGCTTACATGTCAATGTTCATGGTTGTCAATGTAATTGCTTCTTGCGATGCCACATACATGGTGTATGTACAACATGTCTATGGTTTATTAGCGATTGTGAGGTACGGTTCTCTACTAAATAAAAAATTCCAAAGCATTTGATCTCAAAAAATTTTTTTTTCAGTTACAAACTAAGAACTTTGCTCATTTTGGATACAAATAATGTGATAGACTCAAAGAATAACTGTTCGGTCAAAAGGTACAACGACATTGAATTATCATTGGTACACGAAGAGATAATTTTCAGGAAACTAGTGCTTTGCATAAAAGAACATCAAAATGCAATAAAGTTGGTGCTGTTGTTGTTAATGTACAGTTACATTGTTTTTTTTCTTCGCATTAAAAATTAATCAACTTCATTTTGTCGCAGATACGCAAATCTCGTTGAATCATTATTTACTAAATCTATATTGGTTCAATTGTTTTGTAACATTATCAGTCTTACTATTGGTGGAGTTGAAGTAAGTACTGTATTTGATATTATACTTTATTATTTATTATTATGTGTTATACCTTTATTATTATTATACTATACTTTATTGTTTTTAGACTGTTATGAATTTGGGTATCAATACAAGCAACATGACGCGATTTGGAGCACTTACATTGGCACAGGCTATACGCATATTTATTCTTTGCCTTCCTGGACAAAGACTACTGAATCACAGTGAAGAAGTATATACCGCGGCGTAAGAGAATGTTTTATATTTTCTTAATGCTCTCCAAGTTTTACACTCCAAACAATAATTGTCGACTAATCCATTTAGCTGCGAGGTAATGTGGTGTATATTGCCCAAAAAATGTCTTAATTTATATAACATCGTACTCGCAAGGAGTATGGTATTGAATAAAATAACAGCTTTCAAAGTAGCTATCATGTCAATGGAAACATTTCAAGCGGTAAGAATTCTTTATTTCAATTTAATTTAACACACGTACTTCGAGTCAAGGAGATAGCATACTTTAAAAATTATTAAATTCCTTTTTATCAAACAAATGATATAAAATCTTTTTTATATTTCTTCCGTAATGCTATCATCAACATGTATAAGTAACATAAATTAATCTTTTTACAATATATTTCAAGTTATTAAAAAAAAATGAAAATATGGTTAAACATTTAGTGGATTAAATTGAGAGCACATTTCGTGAAAAACAGTGGACAAAGAAGTGGAGAAACAACAAAGAAACGAGTTTGCTAATTGATTGGTGTAATCTTTGCATATAATAGTGGCAGCCATTCTATAATAGTGACAGGCAAATTTATGTAATTTTTTAATGATTTTTTGCCTTAGTTCTTTCCAAATACATTTTTTTAAATTCATTAACACTTACGAATCACAACTTTTTCTTTTTCTATAATCATCGGGATCTTTTAGTAAAATCAGTATCATTCTACAATATCTATTAACTATTTTGGCTATTTTTGTCTGGAATAATGTTTTCTTTATTTAATTTCAACATCCTATGTATTTCAGCTGGATTCAACTTTTTTCCGCCACCCATTTTTACAAATTTATGTATTTATTACGTTAATACACACCTAACCGACTGTATTCGTTTCAGACGAATGTTATGCTTTCGATAGTTTTGTACGCTTGTAGAGCGTAAATATACGACTTGCCCTCTCTTTTTGTCCTCGCGAACGTACAAAATTTACATTTTTGTTTGCATCTCTTTAGAAAATTGCGTCTCGGTAATGACATTTAACACATCCAAGGTTGAGAAATAACTGATGTAATAATCTACGCATTCTGTCTACTTTATGATAGACAATATTAGAAAATATGACAAAATAGAGTATGCTATCTTTTTATAACCTGAAGGCCGATTATGTGCACACTGCTACGAAATGCGGACGACTTTTTGTACTTATAACGAAATGGAATAGTCAAATTAGTTAATAGTAACTAAAATAATCCGTGATCCGCGATTAACGCATAGACTTTTAGGAAAAAGTAAAATTCCGTTGTTTGCGATAAATAAATAACCGAAAAAAATAGAATTTTTTGTGATCCAGTTGAGCGTTAAATAATCATAGGATCAGGCATAATTTTATATTATTTATATTTTCAGATTATTCAAACCGCTATGAGTTACTTCACTGTATTATTATCAACTACATGAATTGAAAATTGAACGTATCTTAATTCTAATATATTTAGTTACATTAGATATTGTAATGAAATAATGACTTTTACTGTATTATACTATAGTACTCAGGTAAAAAGAAATATACTTAGAGATGGATAAATATATTTATATCAATGCGTAATATTTAACATTTACACATAGTATTATGTCACATGTTATACAATATTATGTTGCTGCACAAATAACCTTTACTTTACGTCCCAAAATATATATTGCATATAAAATCTTTCTTTTTTAATCGTAATTTGCAACTTACATTACAAAAGATCAGTGCAACAATGATCTGTTGATAACTTAAAGTACATTTTACATAATAGAATGATTACCAGGAAATGATATTCATGCTCGTAGAGAAACAAACTGATGAAAAACATCTAAAATATGAGGATCCAAGTCTGGTGTAAAGAGTAAAGTTTCTAATGTCGACGAATACTTTTGAACTTGTTCGTGATGCTGCAAACAGAATAATCAACAATCAACGTCATGTACGAGGAGACAGAACATTTTGTTCTTATCATTTGATAAAAAACTTACAGTCAGAAACACTTGTTGTAGTCTACCTATAGTCCATTTGTACCAGTGAGTATTATAATCTATACCGTCAGTATCGCAGCGACCTAAATGCTCCGATAGAATCATTATAAAACGCTGGAAAAAAAATAGTAAACTTAATATTTTTATTTATTCTTATAAATATTCCTACAATACGAAGCCTTTATATGTACCTGAAAAATAATAAGAAACAAATTTTTCTGATCTGCTTGGGCTGTTTCCAGCTTTTCTTCCATTCTTTCTACAACGTCCTCCGATGGTTTTTCTCTATTTTTATCTTTGTTATTGTCCTCGTCTTCCGACGATGAACCTGATCTACTCTCAGCCCTTCTCAACTTCTCACGAGCATCCGCTAATTCCGTGCTTAACTTTATCACATGTTTATTTTTCTTCCGGATTGTTAAGTGAAGAATTTCCCAGATATATAACCTAAAAAAATAGATATAATAGATATCAGAAAGAAAATAGATATCACTGTGATATTTGAAACGTTGTACGTACTTAGTGAACTCAGACACCATCTCTTTGGAAAATATCCAATTTGCGATGGCACTACATTCGATAATTCCAGTTTTCAAGAATTTATCAGTCAAAACAACCATCATTTGGTAATGATTCTTCCATAATGCGTACATGTTCCTCAAAATGCATATTTGAGCTTCTTCAGTTTCGGCAAGAATCTGAAAAATACAAATTTATTTATGTACTGTAAGTACGTTTATTAGATTGTAAATAATGTCTGCTCGCCATCTTACTTGGAAAACATAATGAAATTTTCCTATCGCCGCGAAACTGTGACTAAAACTTTTTGAACCTAAATTCAACAATGTCTGTACAAAAACGTCAATTTTCAGGGGATTGAAATTGTTCGTTTCTTCATTTTCTCTAGGGCCCGGTAATGTATTTAATACGTTGAGGACCTCTTCCGGTGTACATTTACGTCTTATCGAGACAACCAATTCATGAGCTGCTGCCGTACCCGGTAAAGAACCTAGAGCAATTTTCTTTAAATATAATTTACTTAATATTTATAAATTAGACAGTAAGTTCTATACTTACTGGCGCCCTCGGAAGTATACTTATAAATAGGTTCTGGAGGCGCTGGAATTAAGTCAGCATACGATTCTGGCATCATATCTCGTATTCTTTGGTAATATGATAATCTAAGTATAAATTATAAAGAAACTTCAATTTTTACGAACCTTACTCTTACACTATTAAATTTTAATTAATTTAATGTATATACCGTAAAGCTTTTAAAAGTACTTCTCGAATAAACTTTGGCCTGGGATGTTCTGGATCGCGTTGTAAACAAGAATCCCAGTCCTCCCAGGACCAACGAAACTGAAAATTGCTCAAATGATACGCGAACCACCATACAAAACGGTCAAAAGCGGTGGCGGCCATACTGTCTATGCGACGAAACAAAATTTCTGTTGCTTGAGCCAAAACCTATATTAACATAAAACAAATGATAGATATTTGTACTTGTGTCCATAACATATAATGATGCATTATGATTTTACCTGTGGCATTGTCGAAGGCTGCAATTTACAAAGCTCAATCAAAATTGATCCATAACATATCTCTAAGTGTTTTGGCGCAGGTAGTCTAAATAGTTCACCAAATATTACTTCAACAATACAATAGTCTAACGGTATTTTTGCTTTGTACGGAAAGTTTAATAGCTGGGCTGCACTGAAATTTATTTATGTAAATTTTAGTTATAGAATTAAAATATTACGGGGATAATAAATAGAAGAAGAAAATACATACCAATCTTTTCTTTCGAAGAAGTAATTATTGATAATTTGTCTTAAATGTTCCTCTATGAGAAAACGTTCTATGGCATGGCTTCCAGGTAATAACGGCCCTTCGGCTGGACAATCTGTGTAATCGAACATACGAAAAACTACCGTAGGTAATGGATAGGAATAAGATTCGTGATGAGGTGGTGGCATTATGGTAGGTAAATTATGTTGCAACGCTTCGCACAATATTGAATCAAATGCAAGATATGGTCTAGGAATATGCTTCTCCGCCCAGTTGTCTTGTCTGAGTTTCCTCACTTGAGCCCACAAACAATCTAAATACTCTTCCTGAGGATGAGGTGTATCGCTCGACCATACTCTCAATGCTGCTTGATGTTTTTTGCTCCTTTTGTTCAAAAATATCTCTATTGTCACCATTAAATGATCTAATTCTTGTTCTTTCTTTTCATATAATTCTCTCCCTACCCACGGTAACGTTGATAACACAGCGTACACATACCTACAACGAATAATGATAAAACAAGGGTATTTCTTATACACGAGAAACAATTCTCTTACGTACCAGTCTCGTCTTACTTGAGGCACTCCGTCTTCATTGGCAGCGTCCAACATATTGTCAAACAGTTGCATCAAAGATCCACAAGACAAAACGTGACAGTTTACTAAGTCAGCGAGAAATCTCAAGGAGTATCTAGCTACATCCCATTTACAGGACTTCAACGCATCTTTAAAATTCTTCACCATGTAGTCAACAAATTCACCGCCAAAATTAAAGTTCTTCGCGTTCAACAGTCCAACAAGCGTGGTGTAGATCGTACATTTCTCTGGCATTCTAATTGCACATTCCGTCAGGATCCTAAGTATTTTGCTGCGAAATAAACCGAGGTCAGCTTCCAATACCGAGGCTAAACCCTCGAGATTACTCTCCAGAGATGACGTGGACTTCTCTCCTACTCGCAATATGAGAGATTCTAGTCGATCCTCGATCTCCTGATTCTCCGACACCCTTCGACGTTTCTTATACGCCCGTTCTAAAAATTTATACAGAGAAAAAACGGTAAGTCACTGCAATAGATCACCAATATTTCATTTTTAAATCAATGCAAATCACAGCATAAACGAGCATTTACCATATCCATCTTCCTCCTCGTGAACCCTTCTACGACTCATTTCTTGAGGAAATTAAATATACCGTGTCGATCGGTATTATGATTATAATATGATTTATTTCAGCACGATTCAGTACTTTATACGATTTATGCTTCAACTATAAAGCATCATTGGACAAATATAACCTCTTCGATCTTTCACAAACAGGCTGTAGGGAAAAGCGAAGCGTCGTGGATGCACCATTGAATACAAAATATATAAGAATTGCCGCGATCTTTCTACCGCCAAAGTCAAACATCCATCTGGTGGACAAAACTTGAAGCCTTCGTCAGAAATACGGAATCCATTTTACGACTCTGTCAAATCGTTGATCCATGACAGATGATAGTGACTCGCAAATAGTCTTTGCATTTATCTTAACCTAACCTGCAATTATTACAACCGAAAGGTGTATTGAGTTTTGTATTTTGCAGTTATTCTGAGTGATAACCGAGAGAAAATGCCTGAAAGCGTGAAAGTGGAGACGAAAACAAGCAAAGAAGCTAGGACCGGCAAAGAAGAAGATAAAAATGAACTGGTTAGCATTTCATTTCTTCTCGTAGGATTAACATCAAAATACGATTTTTAAGAATAGCAATAGTACAAAAAGCGAAGAAGAATGCATCTGTTATGACTCTGCTATAGTTTAATTAAAATATTCATTTTAAAAAAAGGAAACGATATGAATTTGATGTTAATCATAACATTTATTTGTTTTGATATTTTTTAGTCTGAAGAGGATAAGCTTCTGCAAGAGGAGTTAACTCACCTCGTTGAACGTTTGCAAGATCCCAACACAAATTTGCATTATCCAGCTTTGGAATCTCTGCGCAATCATATTCGTGCATCCACGACGTCAATGACCAGTGTTCCAAAACCTCTTAAATTCATGAGACCTCATTATGACACTATGAAATCTATTTATGAAAAGATAACAGACGTCAAGTCCAAGGAATTGTGTTCTGACGTCATCTCTGTTCTTGCTATGACAATGGGCGAAGGTAGAGAATGCCTCAAATATAGACTCACTGGATCTGCTTTAGCCATCGGAGAATGGGGACATGAATATGTTAGACATCTATCGGGGGAGTTAGCTGGTGAATGGGACGAGGTAACGGATGATGCAGAAGCTACTAGTAAAAAACTAATAGCCCTGGTACATGAAATTGTACCATACAACATGGCCCACAATGCGGAAACAGAAGCTTGTGATTTGCTTATGGAAATTGAGAGGTTAGATCTGCTGGAACAATACGTGGATGAAAGTGCATATCAACGAGTTTGCTTGTACCTGACAAGCTGTGTGCCGTATGTAGCAGATCCAGAAAATAATACCCTACTTCATTCCTCTGCCAAATTATATAGGAAATTTGGTCAGTATCCTCAAGCTGTTAGGCTGGCGATGCAGTTAAACGACTTACCACTTATCGAAGATATGTTTACAAATTGTACTGACCTGTAAGTTAAATTGCCACTGAAATTATTTAACATTGTTTAACAAAAAAATTTTAATGTTCATATATGTTATCTTCTTTCTCAGCTCAGTGCAAAAGCAACTAGCATTCATGCTAGGTAGGCAACAGATTTTCCTGGAACTTCCAGAATCTACTCCAGAATATGACGACTTGGTGGAGATCATGTCTAATTCTTTGTTGAATTATCATTTCCTCAATCTCGCCCGTGAATTGGACATAATGGAGCCAAAGACACCAGAGGATGTGTACAAGTCGCATTTGGAGAATTCCAGATCTCCGTTTGGCGGTGGCCAAGTGGATTCGGCGAGGCAAAATCTCGCTGCGAGTTTCGTCAATGGTTTCGTAAACGCGGCTTTCGGCCAGGATAAACTGTTGGTCGAGGATGGGAACAAATGGTTGTACAAGAACAAAGAACACGGAATGCTCAGTGCCACGGCGTCTCTTGGTCTGATACTGTTATGGGACGTTGACGGCGGCTTGACACCAATAGACAAGTATCTCTACTCCTCCGAAGACTACATCAAATCTGGCGCGCTGTTAGCTTGCGGTCTGGTCAATTGTCGCGTGAGGATCGAGTGCGACCCTGCGTTGGCGCTTCTGTCCGACTACGTGTTACACAGCAGCAACACGATGCGCATCGGCGCGATCGTTGGCCTTGGATTGGCGTACGCCGGCTCGAATCGTGAGGCTGTCTATGGTCTTTTAATCCCCGTACTTAGCGACCCGAAATCCAGTTGGGAGGTGATAGGCGTGGCGGGCCTCGCTCTGGGAATGGTCGCAGTAGGTTCTTGCAATGCTTATGTTACAACGACGATAATGCACGCCCTGATGGAGAAGTCCGAGGCAGATCTAAAAGACACCTACGCGCGATTTCTACCTCTAGGTCTCGGATTGTGCTTCTTAGGGAAGCAAGAAGCGGCAGAGGCTATAATAGCAGCCCTGGAGATAGTACCGGAGCCCTTCAAGTCAATGTCCACGACGTTGGTCGAAGTGTGCGCGTACGCCGGTACCGGAAACGTTCTGAAGATCCAACATCTGTTGCACATTTGCTCCGAACACTATGAACCATCCAACGAGAAGGAGGACAAGAGCGACCGCAAAGACAAAGACAAGAAGGAAGAAAAGAAGGAGGATAAAGCGAAGGACCTCAGCTCGAGGCAGGCAATCGCGGTACTCGGCATTGCATTGATCGCTATGGGAGAAGAAATTGGTGCCGAGATGGCGTACAGAACGTTTGGCCATTTGTTGCGCTATTGCGAGCCTGTTATCAGACGATCCGTTCCCCTCGCGCTTGGCCTCATATCGGTCTCCAATCCGAAACTGAATATACTCGACACGTTGTCCAAATTCTCTCACGACAGCGACCCGGAAGTAGCGCACAATGCAATTTTCGCGATGGGTTTGGTCGGAGCCGGGACCAACAACGCAAGACTGGCTGCCATGCTAAGACAGCTTGCACAGTTTCACGCGAAAGATCCAAACAATTTGTTCATGGTTCGCATTGCACAGGGTTTGACGCATCTTGGTAAAGGGACGTTGACACTGTCTCCGTACCACAGTGACAGACAGGTGTTGAGCCCAGTGGCGCTTGCTGGACTTCTAGCCACGCTGATTGGTTTCCTTGACGTGAAGAACAGTAAGTATTTGAACACTTTCTTCAACACTGTGATTTTTTCTTAAGACGTGTCAAACTAACTGCAACTGTTTGCTTTCAGTTATTCTGGGTCGTTCTCATTATTTATTGTACACGCTAGCTGTTGCAATGCAACCAAGGATGTTAGTGACGTTTGATGAGAAATTAAATCCCTTGGCTGTACCAGTGAGGGTGGGCCTTGCTGTGGACGTCGTAGGCCAAGCGGGAAAGCCAAAAACCATCACTGGTTTTCAGACTCATACAACTCCCGTTTTATTAGCATACGGTGAAAGAGCAGAACTGGCAACCGAGGAGTATATACCTTTGACACCGATCATGGAAGGTTTTGTAATTCTAAGGAAAAACCCAGACTTTATACCTTAACTGTAAAACAGTTGTACAATTACGTGAGAAACATATTTTATATAAGTTCTAGTATAAAATACAATGGAAACTGTTATTACGTGTATGCAAATGATCTTTTTTTTTTGACGTGTAATACATACATAATTTAAACGATAGATCGAAAGTAATGGAAATTCGTGAGAACTCGTGAATTTATTTTTTACGAGTTATCGAAACGTGTGAAACAACAATGAATAAACAAGCAATTTTGATAATTTTTGTATTTTCACCTGTCAATAATAAAATTACAGTTTTTTTTTTTTAACAATAATTATATACTTTAATAATTAAAATACTGATCAACGTGTAAAGTATTCAAAAACTAATACGTTTTACATCTACAAGTTATAAAAATAGTGAAACCTTTGTTTACAATAAATTGTATCTGTGTATTGGCAAGATAAAATGATAGTTAGTACGCGTGTGTACGTATAAAATGTAAATATCTAAGAGATTAGCCATTTGCTATAAAAGTTCGTGTTATTAATGCGTAAAAAGTGGCGCCGCCGTATACTTTTTCGAAAAGTACTATGTATAAAAATGTATATATATTTTATGATTACGCGAATTTATATATCCGTCAATAAATTCTATCAAAAATCTTAAACTATGTAGCTTATAGTAATATTACACGGTACTTAGGTAGCTAATTTGTGATGTTTTTTAAAAAGTGTATACAATGAAAAACAAACTGTGGAACAAGATATCTTGCTATTACATTGAGATATATGTGTATCTATCAGTATCAAACAGTCATACACAAGACACCTGAATTACACAGTTCGTTCCTAATTTATATAAAAAAATATATGATTATTTTAAGTAATATTCGAACACATTCACATTTGTTGCATTATATCTAATTGTATATGAAGTATAAAAAAAAAAAAACAGTATCAAAATATCAGTTGTAACAATCACTAGCTGTATTTGATTTCATTGTCGGATTAAGTATGATTCATCTTAATGAAAGATTTATTATTCTTAAATTAACTAGCTTAAAATAATTCTAATGGACACGTATGACACGTACATAACTTGTGTATAATCTTAATATTTATAAAAAGATTTGTAAAAAGTCGTAAATTTCTCTAAAATTAAAATGCGCTTCGTTACATTATATTTCGTAACGATAGAGCGAAAATTTTTATTGCTTTCAAAGAACATCTGGGTAGAAATTTTCTGACAGCCGTTTTTGTTACAAACGTTAACAAAAATTTGCTTCCATATTACAGTGAACCGTGACTGGCGCTAAAACGTGATAAGGAGAGCCTAAGTTCGTTGTTGGTGACGGAAGACAAGTCGACTGTCTTAGATCAGGTTCGGTATTGTTGCCAACTACTAACAGTGGTTCGGCAAACGTTTGTTGCTCAGAATCGTCATGGGGTGTCATTGTACTGTATCCGTGATCACTATCGCCACCAGGTGGCTTCCTATAATTTGTAGAAACCCTGTACGGCGAAATAGGCGCTATTCCATCTCTTATCAGAGAATCTAAATTGTTCTTTGACTGCTCCAATTCCATAGGCTCTACGTCACCTTCTAGATGTGTCATACGCAGCATGTCGGGTGATGTATGTATGTGCAAACACTGATGTTCTACGCCAGACTGAACAGATCGAAGTCTGTAACAGAACAGCATTAACCCCAGTATCAAAAGGAACGCTAATATTCCACCAGCTACAGGTCCAACTGATGGCCATTCGTGTACTGCGATTTCCTCTGTCGACTGAGAATCTAAAAAAAAAAAAAAATTATACTCTCTGAGAGGAGATCGTTAAAATTACACACTAGAGATTCGTTTATAAAAAAAATACTTACTGTACGTGCCATCGCTAAGTGGCATAAAAAACCCAAGAATACCTCTGAAGCATACAGACATGTCGCTGCAAAATGCCGCTTGCAGCGGCGTTTCTCCGTCATTGTCTATATGACACCATTGACAACCCACAATTCCGAGGCACTCGCTCTCTACTTTGAACATCTTACAGTCAATGGACGGACACGTTTTCAAATTCGTAGACTGTATCCAAGATATCTGCGAATTCCCCCCTTGCTCGTATGGTACCGGGCATGGTTCGAGGTTCATTTCGTTTATGGCGTATTCCGCGCAGTTGGAGTAGTACAAAGCACATTCGCAAGGGCATTCACATTCGGTTTGTTCCATTCTTTTGCAATTTAAGCACGAGCGATCCATCGTGCTGCACGGGCAAAATGCTCTCAATAAATTACAGGTCACGTTGACTACTCCTAGGAACACGTTAGTCTCTGGTATGGCTGCTACTTGATATTTGACACAATGCTCGCCGTGTACTATGTTTGTAAGAACCTCGTCGAGCGAGGTATTAAACTGATAATATCTTTGCACGGTGCCATCCAAGTAATTTATACACGCTTTCTTCTTAACGAAAAGATCGTGGTTCAGTATATCATTTGCAACCAACAATTCCTTGTGCGTTAAGTGTTGTTGCTCGATTTTACCGATCGGTTCTAACAATGCTGGATGCGAGACTAAATAACCTTTATCATCCATTAGGAAACATTTCACCGTCGAATTGTTACAGAATGGGAACATCTCTTTCAGGAGCCTCGAAATGAAGCCTAACGCCACGTCCATAGATACAACTGCGATAGCGTCGTCTTTTGCAGTTGATTCCGAATTACGATGAACTGTGTGACTCAGAGTGACAACGTATCCGGAACCACCAGCACCCAAATACGGAGGTGTAAAAACTAATTTCCCAGAATGTTCCAGCGCTCTTTCATACCACATTCTCCTCTTGGGATCAAAACCAGAGTCCAGCATAATTCCTGGATATATTTCTAGCACGCCACTTACGACTCCAACAATGTATCTGTAATATAAATATAATCAAGTAAAAACTCTAGTTCTGAAATTTTCCTCTGTAAAATATGTAGTACAAAATGTACCTTCTTATTATGAATTTGTTCAAAGCACTTCCTATGTGCCTGCCTTTGAAGTAACTCAACATTTGAGTCAACATGGCCACGTCTGGCCTGACAGATTGATGCAGACCAGGATTGGCTAGTAATCCTGTCAAGTCCTTCAAGTATGCCATGTAACTCTGCATCGTTACCGCAGTTCCAGTTTCTAATAGTTTAAGTTGCTCTATCGGAGACTGAAAGCACCACGGAGAAAGATAGACCACTCCCGTTGCTAAAAGACAAACGTATTTCCCTTTGAAATTGTCGAAAGACTTTCAGGAGAGGATTCATTAACTTACACAGGGACAAGAGTTTGTTGTGATAAGTGCAAAGAATACTCTTGTCAGCAATGCTGTGCATTAAAAGATCGAGACGATGATGCAAGATATTCATTGACAACGTTGGTACCAATTTTGCAACAGGCAATACACTTTCGTTAGTTGCTGACACCAAGCACACTATTAAATCCATGTACGTCAAATGTTTCCACCGATACAATTTCTGAAATGTAAATACTGAATCAATATGAGTTTTATACGTATTTATAAATGTCTTGTATTTAAATGATTTTTTATATAGATGTACCTGTTCTCCTAATTGCGTTTTCACATTCATTACACCCTCGTACTCTTCGATCATTGTCTTCACGGTTTCAGAACTGATATTCTCCATGTAATGTAAATTAACTTTGAGGGGTTGATCCAACATCGATTCCATTCGCGGGAAATCTTTGTGAATCCAAACTATGCCCTTGTTGTCAAACAATACAGCGTATGTATGCATACCAGCATTAAAATAGGTTATATCGTCGAGGAAATTTCGTAATTTAACGTCCAAAGATATTAATGCCTTGTTCGTGATGTGTCCGACAGACAAAGTCATTGCTTTACTATATAGGTCGAAATATGGATCGGACAAATAATAATCTTTCTTGTGTTCCTCAGAACATTTTAAATCGGAAAACAGCTTTGACACTTCGAAGCCTAGTATATTTTGTGTTGGAAGAGTTAGTACACTATCACTGTATTCTTTACTATTTGAATGTGACTCTTGATCTGCAAAAAGGAATTATATTAGTGATACATTATAAACAACTCGTGTGTGCAATTAAACGACTAAACTCACCCGAAAGAATTAATATCGTTTTCACATAGCCACTTATTTTTCCCATGGAAATCATGTTTCTTATTTTCTTCAGGTGTGAAGTGAGCTTAAGTGTATTCGTCAAATGTATAAACACCATTTCACCCTTCACGTGCTGCAGTAACTTATTAAAGTCAAAATCAATTGTGTCGTTTGTCTCTGAAATTTGAGTGAAACATTTTTATAGATGAGAATACAGAAGTAACAATGAAACAATGGAAAAAGTAATTATATATTCTTACCTATTCTTGTTAAACTGTGAATATAACGTGCTAGCTGAAACTTATTGACGTCTGTAGCTTTCAACAAACCATCCTTGCAATGAGTAGTGGCGTTCACAGAAAGGCCAATAACGTTAACATAATCTGTGTGTGACAGCATGTCGATTATTGTCTCTGCAGTTATCTGAGCCAGAGTAATATCGCCTTCGGACATGAACACGCCATGCTCCAGTAATAGTAACACATTCTTTCTCGGGCAGTATTGAGATAACAGAAGAGGTCCAATGTTATGTCCCGCACTAGAAGGACCACATATAGTTACCGGGTACACGAAAGGTAGCAAATGCAAGTTCTTCCACTCTTGGTTTCTCAGATGTAGCGCCAATTCTGGAAACACATGAAACTACATCAGACCTAAGCTCACACATAAGGCAAACAAACTTGTCTTACCTTGAGCGATTCGAGAACAAAAATCAGCCAACCCGTTCGACGTCAGATCCAGTCTGTTTGCAAACCCAGTGTGCTCAAACTGACTTTCACTCCTCGCCAGAATAGGCTCCACAATGCTATAGCTCTGTTTTAAAAGTTTCGCGTAGGACAGCAACTTATTGTTCAGCTTATCCACCAACAGGCTCAGTCTCATGTTCAAGCTGCTCGACACGTTCACAAACTCCATTTCGTCGAGCATCTTCTGGAACGGTTTCAGGCCAAGCTCCGCATCAGTGATCGAACGAAACTCGCCCGACAACCGAGCCACGATATCTCGTAGACAGGTCCCATTAAGCGGCTCTGCGTTCACCTGCTTACGCAAAGTTCTGCCGAATTCACAACTCGCGTTCGCACCGGCCGAAGTGTGCACGTTGACGAGCACCGTCACGAGAAATCCCAATTGCAACAGTATCCTCCTCTCGAGGACGATCATCCTGGCAAGATTACTGTCAGGGTTCGGTGTTCACGCGGAGAATCCGGACACACTGAGCGTCGGTGACATCGACAGCGATGGAATTCACTTGTAAGTCATGAGCCACGATCACAGGGCAACCACGATGCACAATCAACGAGGATTAACTCGATGCGAATGATTAGGGCGCGCGAGCGATTCTTGCATTCTGCTGTTCGGCTCACACCTGCACGCAGGCCTCGTAACCTGCAAAAATTCGTCGCGCCGCCATAACGACGCGGCCACCGCAAGCAAGGTTGACAAGTGCGCAACTGGAAATATTACTTTCCTGGCCGTGTCACTTTCTAAATGAAATCCAACCAGATCCTGTCCTTAGCGTTATGTGAACGCGTCCTGCGGTTTCAGGGGCCCGCGACTGTGTCTCTCCCCCTCGGCGCTCTCTGCCTCATAATTCACCACCTTTTCGCGTTTCTTGCGTAAAACCTAGTGCTAGGTGGAACTAGGTTTTCAGGAAAGTGCGCGAATATATTTCAATGCATTTATTGTGGTACAAAATACGTGTAAAAAGATTCTCTTATTATGAGTGTCTTTTCTATTACACGTATTTTGTATTCATTAATTGACAATGTAATATACTGCAGTATATAATATAGAATATAATTAAGGCAACAATGGAACTTTCAGACAAATTTTTAGGACAATTTGACTAATGTACCGAAGTATAGTACAATTTGTACAAAAAACGTTCGAAATTTTGACGAAAGGTCCTGCGAAAATTCGCTCCAGAAATAATCCAATTAATAACTTAAAATAAACGATTTTATCATTTGTCTTATTTATTATTAACAATTATATAATAGTTGTTTATTTCCTTATTGTCTTTTTACCAATAATTACACTCTTAGTTATATCAATTGTTACAACAAGTAATAATATAATTATATTATACTTATCTTATTTAACATTAATAATTATACTATATATTATATATTAATAATTACATTACATTTTTTTGTTATTTCATTTACTATTTAATCAGTTAAAAATAAATAATTTCATAGATTTATCTCAATCCAAGTACTGGAGAATTTTTCTTAAACTAAATTTTTCTTAAAGAAATTTTCTTAAACTAACTTTTAACTTTTACATTTTCGAACGTGATATATATTTAGCGAACTTTGTCAATCCGAATATTAAACGATAGGAGAGAGATATTGTTACGGGAATTTTTTCCGTAGAGTCCCGAGATGTTGGAAAGTGAAATGTTCCTATTCGCACGCCAACCTGCAACGTTTGACGTAAACGAAAGTTGTAAACGGGCTTCGGTATTATGTTCCACGAATTTGCGTTGTTTGTTTGTCATTTTATTGCAGAACTCGATGACAATGCACGGCGGTGGAGAAGTCGAAAATAAGATATAACGCAGCACGTTTAACAGTGATGGGAAAATTACCGAAAGTTGCGATGCATGAAATTGTTTATCATAATGTCAAAAGGTAAAAATAAATGTCATTACGTGCTGTTTTCTTACTTTCGTACTGTTCCGTGAGATCAGTTAGCAATTTAACGCGATAAGTCATTTTTCTTTTTACTAGAAAAAAGTTACTCGTTCATAGAATTTTAAGTTTTATACGTAAACAATGAAAATATTCCATTTGTACTGCGTAGCATACAAAATTTATATTTTCTATCTGCACGCTTCGTCTTATTCTAAATTCTGATTACGATGCAACAATCGGAAATTTATGTTTTATTCATAAATCATTTGCCACTTACGTATTTAAATGGCGAATGGTAATTTGTGGAAGGGTCGATGCATAAATTTTAAATATCCGATTATAAGTAATAATACATAATTGATATCATTGTATAAATGATATGTATTTTTTTTATGCAAATGAGTTAATACATTTCTTTCTAACACCACAAAGTATGTTACTCTTATAATAACGTATGTACACTTATAAATATTTTCTGTTGTGCACGCACTAAAGTTATAATTGGAAATTTTTAAAATAGGTCATAGCAAAGAGACGACGCTTGCTTAAATGATTCTTTCCTTATTCATAATGAGGAGTGGATACATTGGACATGGATATAATTAACATAGAGGACGTGGAAGCTGGTGTTCGTCCATCTAAGAATTCTACTTCAATACAATGCAACTGCATTCAGTCGAACTCAGTGTGTTACATTTTTGCAACAATTGCCACTTTGGCTCTTTTGGGTGCGATCGTTTTCATCTGTCGAGACTATATCAAAGTGTTGCTTTATTGGATCGAACATCAGAACATATGGATTGTTACTATAATATTCATCGCGTTGTTCACAGTGGTTTCATTCCCTATCATAATTGGTTATTTATTCCTCATCATTGCTAGCGGCTATTTGTTCGGCATATTAAGAGGGATTGTCATGGTTGTTTTGTCTGCCAACTTAGGAATAGCCATAGCACATGTTACCCTTAGCGCGTTGTCCTCTAAACTACCTATTGGAGCTCTTTTGCAAAATGACACTGCAAGAGCAATCCTTAGAGTTATATCTGGACCACAAGCTTTCAAGGTTGTTTTGTTTGCAAGGTTAACTCCTATTCCTTTTGGCTTGCAAAACACCATTTTTGCAGTATGTATTTTCTAATTAATACTTAACATTTAATATTTTATTAGAAATGTTAACAATATATACAATTATTTAGGTAAGCAATATGGGCGGCATTCAATATCACATAGCTAGTGCATTAGGTTTACTGCCTGCTCAAATCATTAATATTTACTTGGGCAGTAGTTTAAGATCTATGCAAGATGTACTTGAAGATAGATCAACAGCAGCAACTGGTTATATTGTCTTCTGTTTCCAAGTATATTTTTAGTATATTTTTAAAGAATGAAAAAATTAAAATTTTCTATGATATTGAAAATATTAATAATTTTTCTTTTTCAATTTCAGATTCTAATAGGTATTTCACTGATGGTGTACGTTGTCCAAAAAGCACGTAGAGAACTTCAACTGGCATTATTAGAAGCTGATCTTGCCTCGATGGCTGATACTTCTCACTATCTTCTTGATACATTACCAGATTCTAAAATAGTTTTAACAAATTTAATTGCCTAGGGATTAAATGGAAATCTTATTTATTCGTTAGGTGCCCATATGTTTCTAATGCAATTTTATTCTGATTAAGTTAAAGAACTGAAGAGGTTCAATTTATTATTCGTTAGTGATAATTATATATTCGTCTTTTCCATACACCTGAAAGTACTGAATATTTTGTGATATAAACAGCAGTTAACGAACAATCGCTTTATTGAACATACTTCAGTGAAAAGTTTAGACAATAACGAATGCAGATAGAGAATCATATTAATAAATATATTTATTTATTCTTTTTTTTTTCCTTTTCCGAAAAACAATTTTTGTGCCAAATCTTCATTGTTGTCTTGAGAATTTGAGTGCATTTATATTTGTTGACTCATACTAATTTTTATATTGTTTGCATTTATTTTTGGTAATATTTTTATATAATGTAACAAGTCTTCCAGAGCATTTAATAATTTGAATTTTACATTAAGGAAATACGGAACAAAACTGGGAGAAAAAATTTAATAATCAGACAAGCATGCAAAACATGGAGATTGCAAAATATTAAAATAAAGAACAATAACTTATTTAACT